CATTCCCTCCCGCACACTCCAGACCCCCACCTCCAGCCCGCCCCTGCCCTCCGGCTGGGTCCTGGGTCCGCCTGCCCCCTCCCAGCGCTTGGGTGAGGGCAGTTTGGGGGAAGGTGAGGAAAAGGCCCAGTGCACTCGGGGAGCAGAGCATGCTAATCTCTCCTGGGCTAGGTGCCATCCTGAAGACTTGGGGGAAGGGAAGGCAGATCCACGAGTGAGGAGACTGGCTCTTCCCATAGGGTGATGTTAACGTCATTGTTGTTGGCTACTGACAAAATCAACTGCCCAGTGCCAGGGCTGCCCTAGGTGCTCAATAAGTGTCTGAATGAATTACCGGGCAAGGGAGGGAGCCAGCATGGTGCATGATGCCAGGTAGGGCAAGATTGGCCTTTATCGGAATACCAGGTGCTCCTGTAAATCAGTGCTGCAGGTAAGCTCCATTCAATTCAACAGACATTTATTGAGCATCCCCAGGGTGCTGAGTCCTGTAGTAGGTACTGCTGCTATAAAGATGAATCAGGGATAGTCTTCCCCTAGGAAACTCACAATCTAATGGGGGATACCGATGATAAAGGGAATTACAAGATAGGTAATTACCAGACTGTGGAAGTACAGGGCCCTCTGGGATCACAAAGAGACAACCCATCTAGAGAGATTCCTGGAGGAAATAACTTGAAGGATGAGTGGGCTAAGTGAAGAGAGCATGGGCAATGAGTGGAGTCCTGGAAACAGGGGGACCCAGCTTCCTCTGGTTGGGTGGGGGTAGGGAAGCAGCAAGCAGTTCTGGTAGCTTATTGCCAGCCTTATAAAAGGCCTAGTAAACCTTGTTAAGGAATCTAGAGTTTATCAGGAAGGGAATGTAGGGTCACTGAAATGTTTAATGCAGGGGGAGACAGATCAGATTTGCACTTAAGAAAAACTATTGTTTTCAGAGTAGAGATTGGATTGGGGGAGGGCATTTGAGGGGGACAGGGTGCCATGGAACTGAACAACTGACCAGGATTTGGCCACCGATTGTGTGTGTGTGTGTGTGTGTGTGTGTGTGTGTGTGTGTGTGTGTGTGTGGCCGGGGGTTGGAGGGAGGTTGAGGTTGGGAGCAGACTGCAAGATTATAGCCTACGTTTTGGGCTCAGACAACTGAGTTAGGAAACAATGGAAAAGGTCAGGGTTGTGGGTTTGGGAGAGATCTTGAGGGGCATGGAGTACATGTGAATTTAGATGTCCCTCTGTTGGCTCCAATAAGGGTGACCTAAGGAAATGTATGAATGTTTGGTGGGGGGGTTGCAGATGTGTTAGGGACTCTTTTGACTAGAACTGGGTGAGAGCTGGGCCTGTTTGATTCATCTCTGTGTCCTTATGGCCAGCACTGGCCTTGCACCTAGCGGGGACCATGTGTCCCCAGCCCGTGCACACAGGGCCTGGGACAGGCTTCCCCACTCAGGAATGCTTTGGCAGGGTGACTGGTAGAAAAGGTGGGGAAGAGGTGTCACAGGAAGGGCAGGTGGTCCAAAGGAAGGGTGGAAAAGAAGTCTTTATCTGCTAGAAACACATACTGTAGTGCTTATGGATGAGGTGGGAGGCCTAGGATTTCCAAAGAGACTGGGGGTTTTGGAAAAAAGGAGGGGAAGAGGGACAGAAATAAGAAGCTTGGGGACAGGGCCAAGTCTTATTTGATAATCAAAGAAATGGGGCTGAGGATGTCAGGGCAGGAAGCTATTTTGTGAAGCATCTGGAAATGAACTTCAGAAATGACATTTGAGGTGAGTGGATACATTAGACTTTCAGAGCTGGAGAGACTCCTTTTCACCCATTTGCCTCCATATTTCACAGATAACAAGCTTAGGCCCAGAGAAGGAAGTGAGCTGCCTCAGGCACATAGCTAATTATTGGCAGCAGTGGGACTGGATGTTGGGAGTGGTGGAGATAGGGGACCCATGTATGATGGAGTCAGACTGACATGGATTGGTCCCAGTTCCGATTTCATCACTTCCTAGCTGTGTGACCTCGCCTGTAATGTGGGGACATTAAGAGCACCTGTGAGCTTTCAGTGGTGCAGGAGTGATGAGAGCACATCAATCCATTCAAGGGTTAAGTTAACCAAAGAGCTTTGCCAAGGGGCCTTGAGGTTTATGGGAGAAAGAGGGAGTCACAGGTTCTGGGTTTATTTTTCTCATAGATGTATTACTTGGCTGCTGTCAGAGTGCATCCTCTCCTTTCCCTTCTCCCCTCCAGCCAGCAGAACTGTCCCCTGGTAGGAGCTGTTGCCATGGCAACTCGATTCTTCCCCAGCAGCTTGGCTGTCTTTGACTTTCTTAATCCCAGTATTTTAATCTTAGAACTAGAGCTCACAGAGAAGTTGAGAAGGAGGTCACTCCTAAATCAAATGGAAGGACACATTCCTGAGCCCTTGCCCTGCAACGACCTGTGGTTAGAGTTCTCAGATTGGTAATTCAGCCTTCAAAGATTGCACATATCTTCTCTGCAGCAGCAGCCATCACATCTCCTAGGAAACCTTCCCTGACAACCTCCAACACACATCCAGAGAAAGCTGACTCATCCTACCTTTGAGCCTTCCTTCGTAGCTCCTACACATCTAAGCCATCTGTTTCCCCCTCTCCCCTGAGAGCTTCTTGAGGGCAGGAACTCTATGGTATTCATCTGCCTAGGAGGAGGCGTGAATGGAATAGGTCCTCCTTACTTTATTTTAATTTTTTATCTTTATTGTTTGAAGTATTACAGATGTCCTCTTTTTCCCCCTATTGATCCCCTCCACCCTGCATCCACCCCACCCCCAGGCCTCCCCCATACCAATGCCTATGTCCATGGGTTATGCTTATAAACATCTAAGTTCTTTGATTAATCTCTCCCCACCCACTCTCCCATCCCGCCTTCCCTCTGAACTCCCTCAGTCTGTTCCATGCTTCTATGTCTCTGGATCTATTTTGTTCATCAGGTTATTTTGTTTATTATATTCCACATATGAGTAAGATCATGTCGTACGTGTCTTTCTCTGACTGGCTTATTTCACCTAGCATAATACTCTCCAGTTCCCTCCATGCTGTCCCAAAGGATAAGAGATCCTTCTTTTTTACAGCTACATAGTATTCCATGGTGTAAATGTACCACAGCTTTTTTATCCACTCATCTACTAATGGGCACTTGGGCTGTTTCCAAATCTTAGCTATTGTAAATTGTGCTGCTATTCATTTTGTAGTCTATTTGGTCTGATATGAATATTGCTATTGCAACTTTTTTTTCATTTCCATTTGCATGGAAATTTTTTTCCCATTCCTTCACTTTCATCCTGTGTGAGTCTTTTGTTTTGAGGTGGGTCTCTTGTAGACAGCATATTTTTGGGTCATGTTTTCTTATACATTCAGCCACCTTATGTCTTTTTATTGGAGCATTTAATCCATTTACATTTAAGGTTATTATTGATAGATACTTATCTATTGCCATTCTAATTCTTTATGTCCATGTTTCTCTCTATTTCTACTTCTAATTACAGCAGTTCCTTTAACATTTCCTGCAATGCTAGTTTGGTGGTGATAAACTCCTTTAGACTTTTTTTTTTCTGGGAAGCTCTTTATTTCACCATCTATCTTGAATGATAGCCTTGCTGGATAGAATAGTCTTGGTTTCAGATCCTTGCTTTGCATTACCTTGAATATTCCATGCCATTCCCTTCTGGCCTGTAGAGTTTCTGATGAGAAGTCAGCTGACAGCCTATGGGAGGCCCTTTGTTGGTAACAGTTTGCTTTTCTCTAGCTTCCTTTAAGATTCTCTCTTTGTCTTGAATTCTTGGCATTTTAATTATGATGTTCTGGGCTTGGGCCTCTTTGGATTCTTCTTGCTTGGGACTCTCTGTGCCTCCTGAACTTGTGTGACTTTTTCCTTGACCAGGTTAGGGAAGTTGTCTGACATTATTTCTTCAAACAGGTTCTCTAACCCTTGCTTATCTTTTTACCTCCTCTGGCACTCCTATAATGCAAATATTGTTATATTTCATGTTGTCCCACAGCTCCCTTAGACTGTCCTCCTGTTTTTTAATTGTTTTTTCCTTTTGGATCTCTGGTTGAGTGATTTTTTTCTACCATGTCTTCTANTTCTACCCTGTCTTCTAATTTCCTCATCCGATCCTCAGCTTCCTCTAATCTTCTGTTCATTCCTTCCAATGTATTCTTTATTTCTGCTATGGCATTCTTAATTTCCCTCATAGCTTCTCTAGCTTTTTCCATGCTGTTGAGCATCCTTACAATCAGTATTCTGAACTCTATATTTGATAGATTGCTTATCTCCATTTCATTTAGCTCTTTTCCTGGAGACTTCTTTTGTTCTTTCATTTGGGGTTTGGTTTTTTGTCTCCCCATTTTGGCTGCCTGTTCGGGGTGTTTTTTTTCTATGTATTAAGTAGATCTGCTAGGACTCTCAGTCTTTTTGGAGGGTCTCTGGTGCAGGCCAATGTCAGATGCAGTTTGTGACTGGCCCTGAGTACCCTGTTTGGAGTTATCAACAACCCTCGGCTTGAGGTCCCCTTGTTGGGGCTGAGTGTGTTTGGACAGGACCAAGATGCACACCAAAGCCTGCTTTTCCAAGGCCCAGGTCCAGAAGCAGATCAGGCAAAGACTCAAAGCACTCTGAGGTTTGCCTCTGCCTGTAGGCTGATTAATCTGATTCTCTTAATGAGCCTCAGGCTGTAGGAACCCCTCTGGGTAGGGTGAGGGGTTTTCTAGCAGGGTGGGGCAATTGCTTCCCCCCTCAGGAAAAAGCAGCAAATTGTCTGCCTGAGAAAGATGTCCTAGTCATGACTAGGCACAGGAATCCAGATGGGTGCCTTCTGATCTCAATCTCCAGAGCCCACAACCCTAGGTTCTCCTCACACAGCTCCAGTCCATTCTTCCCTCTCTCTGCTGGAGCCCAAGGTGAGTGGCTGCACACGAAACTCTGTGCATTGGCTCTTTAAGAGGGTGCCTGCATTTCCAGCCGTCTCTCCCTGGCAGACAGAAACCTGGCTGCTTTTCACTGCCAGTTGTTATGTGGGCACCTTTCTCAGTTCTGGTGCTCTTGGCTGGGGAGCCCAGCCCTGGGGGTTTAGGCCCCAGAGTCCTCAGTGGGAACTCCCCACAGCTGAGCGATCCCTCTGGACCCTCAGCTGCTGCCTGTGGGAGTCCAGCCAGCCCTCTCATGCCTCCCCACTTCCTACCAGTCTCCGTGCGGTCTCCACTTTTCCTCCTTGGTTATGAGGGTGCTCTCCGGCTCATCTTCAGTTGCAGTTGACTATTCAGGATGGTTTTTCTTTATTTTAGTTGTAATTCCAGTTTGGTCCCAGGACAGTGTCAGTGTAGCGTCCACTCAGTCTGCCACCATCTTTAATCCTCCCTCCCTACATTTTTTGAATGAATGAGTAACTAAGGAAAAGAAGAGTGGAGGTATTTGAAAACTAATTTATACAATGACTAAGAGCACAATCTTCAGGGTAAATTCGACCTGAGATCAAATGCTAACATCATCACTTAAGAGCTGGTTGATCTTAGGCAACTTACTTCACCTTCTTAAGCCTTAGTTTCTTTATCTGTAAAATAGGGATTTAATACATTCTTCTTAGGATAGCTAGGAGAATTGAGTTAGAGACTATATGCAAAGTGCTTTGCACAGTTACTGGACTCTAAGGAGAGGGACTGTATTCTGCTTTTCCTCACTGTGTCCCATTTATCTGGCACAAAGTAGGCACATACATATTTTATCGAATAAGTGAGTGAATTTTATTTTTTTATTTTTGGAATGAATTTTTTTGAATGAATGAATTTTAAATAACAAAAGTTGTTCGAGAAGCTGGTTTGTAAGAACAACAACTGATACATCACCTCACATGTAATAACTGCTACATTATCTTCTGGTATTTTTGCTAGGTCTGCATAGCAGTACTTAGTATTCCCCAAATGCAGCCTGTCAGTCTGTTTCCACACCCCTGTCTGCACTGGGCTGTGGGCATCTCTAGGCAGGCACTGCATGGGTCTCACCCACATCTGTAGTGCTCAGTCCAAGGTCTTGCATAGAGGAGAGGCCTCTAAAAATTCTGTTGAACAGCTAAACCTAATTTACATTTGTACGAACAGTTTATGAGGCAGTTTTATACTCATTGCATCTGGTGTTACTGGCCTTTTCACCACCCAGGATATTTCTGTTATTTAATCTCCATGGGCCCATATTTTGAAAAAACATCATCAAACAAATTCCATTTGTTAATCAAAGTCATGCCAACTGCTAACCAGAACTTCTGATCTATATGAAATAAGGATTTTTATCCCCAACTCCCAGCATAGGATGTGGATACACAGTAAGTACTCAAGAAATGCTTCCTGAATGAATACATGTATGATTTCTTAGCCTTTCTGAAAAGTTGAAAATGGTTTGCCCCCCCAACTTTTTTTTTTTTTTATTATATCTTAGACCTAAGCATCCCCATGTCAGGAACTCCTGACTTCACAACAGCTCCATATCCCCATTTTATAAATGAGGACACTGAGGCTCAAGGAGGGAAAAAGCCTTGCCAAAGACCATAGACTTTGGAAGTACTGTCGCTGGGACTTGCTTCCGCAGCAGCCTCCTATACTAATATTCTGTGATCCACAGAAGTTAAAATGCTTGAATGGGTGTTCTTATATCAAACTGAAATCTTTGTCATCTTTAAAATGCCCATTCCTGCCCAGCCAGGCATGGCTCAGCGGTTGATCATGGACGTAGGATCCAGGAGATCATGGTTTGATTCCCCCTCAGGGCACATGCCAGTTTGGGGCTCCATCCCCAGCTCCCGGCATGCAGGAGGCAGCTGATCAATGAGATTCTCTCATCATTGATGTTTCTAGCTCTCTCTCTCTCCCTATCCCTTACTCTCTCTGAAATCAATAAAGAAATACTTAAAAAAAAATAAAATAAAATGCTATTCTCTGGAGCTATACGGAATAAATATAACCCCTTCTGTTAAGATGGGCCTTTCAATAGCTGAAGCCAATCATGGCTTTCCTAAATTCTCTTGTCTACGAGGTTATTCTTTGGATGAAAATATTATGAGCTCCCTGGAGGTGGCGCTATTGGCTCATTACCTTTTGTTCCCCCAGAGGTCTTCCGTCGTGAAGCTGAACGTGGGGGGCGAGATCTACACCACTACCGTGGGCACCCTGATAAGAATCCCGGACTCAAGGCTGGCAAAAATGTTCTTCACCTTAGCCACGGCCAGCACCGATACGGATGAGGAGGGCCGCCTCTTCATCGATCGCTCCAGCACCTATTTCGGCGCCATCCTCGATTACCTGCGCAGCGGGCAGCTGCCCACGCAGCACATCCGCGAGGTGTACCGTGAGGCTCAGTTCTTCGAAATTTGGCCTTTAGTCAAGCAGCTGGAGGATATGCCCCAGATCTTTAGTGAGCAGGTGGCTCGGAAGCAGTTCTTGCTGCAGGTGCCAAATTACAGGGAGAACCTGGAGCTCATGGTGCGCCTGGCGCGCGCCGAGGCCATGGCCGCGCGCCACTCCCACGTGCTGGTGTGCGCGGTGCGCACGGAAGAAGACGCCGCACACTGCGCGGATTCCCTGCGCGCCCTGGAGGCTGACAAGAGGCTGGTCGTCAAGTTCGGGCCTTGGAAGGCACCCCCGGTCATCAGGGACCTCCTGGACTCCGTGCGGATGGACATTGAGGCTCAGGGGTACCAGGTAGCCTATGACTCCTGTTCCAAGAAGACGTTCCAGCCAAAGGCCGGGGCCCAAGAATACTTCTACACGTTCCAGTTCACCTGGTGGTGATTGCCAGGGGCGGTGGCTGTTTGTTACGGGCTCTGGTGGGGCTTATGAAGTTAAAAGTTGCTTTCGAAAGTCATATTACTTTAAAATAAAAAATAAACATCAAACCGCTTCCAGGGTGGTCTACAAAGCTTGCCCCCAAATATTTACCTCCCCCTTGAGGACATTCCACTCATTGCAACCGACTCCACTGTACATGCCTAGTCAAGTGCAGTTGCTCTCTCTTTATAATCCTCATGCAAGGATATTTTTCCCCCATTGCTTTTCAGAGAGAGTGGAAGGGAGAGAGAGAGGAACATAGATGTGAGAGAGACCCAACATTGCCTCCCAGCCGAAGATCAGGCCTACAGCCGAGGTCCCTTGACCAGAATCAAAAAGAGACCCTTCCACGGGCAGGCCAACGCTCTAACCACTGAGCCAAACCGGCTAGGGCTGTAGCTGTTCTCTCTTTAAAGCCTCAATTACCTGCCAGACCCTCCCCTTGAAGTCTGATAGTAAGGCTGAGATGAGTTGGAATGTTTCAAAAATGCTTTGGCTGGAGATGCAGGATGTCAACAGGAATATAACAGGATACGATGAATCTAGATAGTCTGACCTAAAAACACGATTTACCCAGCTTCAGCCTGTGGGCCAGTCCTCTCGTCCAGGTGTGTGCCTTCATGATGAGGAAGGTGCCAAGTTAGTACCTGTAGTAGATGCCGCTCAGATCTTCTTTCCCAGATGCTGTGAGTGTTGGCGGCTAAAGCCTCACAGCTGTCCTGTCTCTAGAAGTGTTTCTCAAAGTGTGGTCCCTGGGCCAGCAGCAACACCTGAAACTTTTTAGAAATACAAATTCTCTCTCCTCCACCTCAGCCTACTGAATCAGAAACTCAAGGAGGAACCAACTCTGGTACAATTCCTGTTCCAGAGCTCCTTGTGGGATCAGACTGAAGTCAGTCTTCATCTGACACCACGTTCTTGCTTAGCGTTTTCCTTCTGCACTATCCTGCTTCCCTCGCACCCCTTCCTGAAAGCACATCAGCGACAAATGACTTGCACAGGAGATTCTGTTTCAATTTCTGCTTTGTCAACCTAAAACATAACTCTAAGGAGGACACATGTAGACACTCATCCTTCTCCAAGTCCAGGTCTGGGAGAGTTGACCCCCTTCCCTGCTTAGAAGGCTGACTGGCCATCCTGGGTTCCCCAGGACTGAAGGTCAAGTTTAACTGTCAAAGTTTAAGAAATTAATACTGAGTCAGGGAGTTTGAAATTTAAACATAAGTCCTGGCCAATGTGGCTCCGTAGTAGAGCCTCAGTCCTTGCACCAAAGGGTCGTGGGTTTGATTCTGACCAAGGGCATATACCTGGATTGCAGGTTCAATCCCCCGCCCTTGTTGGGGCGCATGAGGGAGGCAACCAATTGATGTCTCTCTGTCTCTCTTTGCTCTCACTCCCACCCTTCCATTCTCTCTAAAAATCAATGGAAAAAATATCCTCAGGTGAGGATTAACAAAAAAATTTAAACATAAAATTGCTCAGAACAAAGTCATTTTCAACAAGCATTACAATTTAGTAACTGCGTCTGTATATTTTTTATTTTCAAAACTTGTTTTATGTTTTCCTTCTTTGGTATTTAATACACCTGACAATTTAAAGTGGAAAAAAATCCTGAATGTCTATTTGAACTTTTTATCATGAAGCAATTCAACATTATTTACCAAGTGCCTGAAAAAGAGTTCATACCCTTTGATTGGTAATTACAAGTTTAGATTCCAAGGACACACCCTGCTTCTTAAGATGTAAGCAGAATTGCTTATACTCTCAAGTTCACGAATTATGGAAGAGTCAATGTTCTCCCCCAAGATTTCTGCACACTCTTGGAGGGCTTGTCTTCTCCCGGGCAGCTCTGGTTCTCTGCTCCTGCTGCATTCATTCAGCATAGGGATCATCTAGATGTCTTGAACCTATTGTTGCTGTTCTGCACAATGCTCACCCAGATTTAACACTCAGATATTTTTCTTTCCTTTTTAATTTATTTGATTTGAGAGAGAAACATCGACTTGTCCCACTTATTTATGCATTCATTGGTTAATTCTTGTTATGTGTCTTGACCCGGGGTTGAACCCATAACCTTGGTATATCGGGATGATGCTTTGACCAACTGAGCTACTGGCCAGGACTCAGATCCTTTTCTTAATTTTTACAGATTCCACTCCCATGAGCTATTTGTGCACATAGCAGACTATGGGAAATACAAACAAATAAAGGGGAGAGAGTTTACAATGCAAATGCAAATAGTTTCAAATTGAATATTGGACAAATCTATTCTTAAAAGTGTGCAGTTGCCCACATCGCTAGGGGCTTTTCACAAGTAGATTGTGTTTGTTTCCTATGCTTTCTTCCCTCCCTGTTCTTGACATGCTTCTCAGTAGGTGGGAGTAATTGTCCCCATTCCACTGACTTCCTGCTCAGCCTATGACTTAATCTGGCCAATGGAGTATGTGTGGAAGTGCTGGTGCGCCAATTCCAAACAGACTTTTTAGAGTTTGGAAGTTTCCACCAGCTCTGTCATTTGCCAGAAGACCATGTTCCAGTTACCTTTTTTATTGCTCTCGCTCTAGCCTGCATCCCTGAGGATCAGACTCTCTTCCTAAACAACTTACCAAACTAGTTTATTAAACAAAGGTAATTCCAACCTCTCCCTCCAACTTCCAATCCATAATACAATTAAGAAAACATAACTATTTTTTAAAAAAATGTTTTTATTGATTTTAGGGGGGGAAGGGAGAGGGATTTGAAACAACGATTGGCTGCCTCCTGCACACCCCCTACTGGGGATCAAGCACGAAAGCCAGCCCTTGCCCTGGCAGGGCATTAATCCATGATCTGGTTCATGGGTCGACGTTCAACCACTGAGCCACGCCAGTTGGGCCTGCCTGACCTTGATACCTTGGTCTTGGATTTCCCAGCCTCCAGAACTGTGGGAAATAAATTTCTGTTGTTTATAAGCCACTCAGTCTACGTACTCCATTATGCTAGCCTAATATCTCTCTCTCTCCTGTTGGTTCTATTTTCCTTGAGAACCCTATTACGCCTAACTGCAATGTTTCTGTCAGCCCTACCATTCGTGGTTACCTATTCATTTTCATGTTATTTCACACATTGCTTCTGCTTAAGGAGCTTATTTTATGGTGAAATAAGTTTGGCAAAGAAACTCATTGGTCTTTCCAGGTACCCCATCATTCAGATGTAGTTGCTATTATAAAAACAATGTAATGACCTTTTGCAGACTCAGTTATACTGCTGGCTGAGAGACAACACATTGTGAATTTGGGGTGCTGTCTTTACAGGTTTGTGGTATATGCCTTATACCAGCAATTTTCAACTGGTGTGCCACAAGAATTTTTAAAACATGCAATACCTGACTATTTAGTCAGGGGTAGTGACCTCTTTTCCCTTAGGTTGCCAAATAAACAAACAACAGCCAACACAACAGCAGTCATCCGGTGTGAATGAACCAAAATTATACCTAGTTTTTGTCGCATCCGCAAAAAATATATTTTTTTGGTGTGCCACAGAATTTTAGTAATTGGTTTATGTGTGCCATGAGATGAAAAAGGTTGAAAATCACTGCCTATACTACAGCTAAAATATAGTACTGTTTCTCCCACAGTTAGAACATGAGTTTGGGAACTAAGGGATGGAGTTAGGAGTGGTTCTTGTCACTTTCACACCTAGTAACTCACTTATGAATTCTTGGGTTCAGTGAGTTAGGAGTGCTTAGTCCCCAAGGGAGGAACACTTCTGTCCACTAAAGAACACAGTCATTGTTCTATTACATTGGAACATGTAATGAGATGGTCCCTGGTCATAAAGGGCTCTTCTTGCTGAGCAAACACGCAGAGAAGGGGTTACTATGCCAGTCTGAGGGACTGACCCTAATTTCCAAAGGGAAATTGAGTTGCTGTTATACAATAGGGACAAGGAGGACTCTATCTGAAGCCCAAGGGATTCACTGGGGCATCTTATTGTGTTCTCGTGTACAATAATGAAAGTCAATGGAAAATGTCAATTCACTAAAGAATTTCTCATTTCAAAATTAAAGAATGTGATTTAGTTATGAGAAAATAAAAACCTTAGCATCACAAATATGACAAAAAAATTAAAGAATGTGAAATGTTCTCGTTTCTCCACCAGTCTGGCCTCAGCTTTTCAACTTTATTTTTACTGCTCCTCCCTGCTCCCTGTATGCACTCTACTCTTAATATGAAGTGAATTTCCTTTGGCTTTCTGAGTGCAGCCACAGGTCTAACAATAATAATGATAAACTCTGTATCATTAATGCTTAGGTGCACATTTAACATCTCTGAAATCAGGTCACAGTTTAAGATTGCTGTTGGCCAGGTTTTTGTATATAGGCTGGGTCATAGCAGTTCATGTTGTTTTCAATTGCCATTTAATGCATCTTCAAAGAGATTACCCTATAAATTGCCTTGAAAAGTTTTTATGTGCACATAATGAGTAGAACCACAGCAATATGACAGGATACAAAGAGATCTAAGCAATAAGAAACTGCTGTTTTTAATTTCATCACTTTTTCTTGTTACATAAAAAGTGGTTTTCTTTACAATTCCTGGCAGCTCAGATTTGATAGAATATGGTAATGATAATAATAATAGCTGCTAACATTTATTAAAGGTACTGTTTGCTAAGTGTTTTTCATTTAGCTCAATAGATTTGTATATGTGGTAGTCTCTGTGGTCTGGGATGCCATTCTTTCTGAAAAATTTACCATAGGCATAGCTTGTTTTATTGTCCTTCACTTTATTTTGTTTCTTACAAATTGAAAACCCTCCACCAGCAAAAAGATTAGTACTTGCCTGAGGCTCAGATAATGGCTTTTTTTTTTTTTAAGCAATAAATTATTTTTAAATTAAGGCAGTATATTGTTTAAGACATAATGCTACTGCACACTTAGACTACAGTAAAGTATAAACATAACTTATATGCACTGGTAAACCAAAAGTTCATGTGACTTGCTTTATTGCAATATTCGCTTTATTGTAGTGGCCTGAAACCGAACCTGCAATATCTCCAAGATATGCCTGTATTTTAAATCCAGATT